CGGTGCGCTGTCGCAGGTCGCACGCACACGCACTTGCTGGCAATCACGAATCACGAATCAAGAACACACCGCGTCCACCCGCTGGCGATTTTGCGCGCGCGCGCGCGCGAGATTCTTGATCTGCGTGCGTTTTTGGAAAAGGGTACGCTGCGCGGCAATAGGGGGGAACTCATTAAATCGCGATCCTCCAGAGACATTTTGAATCACAAATACATGCCCTCGAGTGCGCTGCCCCGCATCAGGCTTCCCGGCCGCTCGACGCTGTCCCACATCAGACGCACGACGACTAGCAAGACCAGATCAAAATTCGGTTTCATTGCGTTTAGGTGACAAAGAGCCCTCGAGAATCTGCCCTGCCCTCGCAAACGTCAGACGGTGCGGAATAGGCCAACGTTGGTGATACGTATGCTGGATTGGCTGATGCGGGGGACAGATTCCCTTTCGTAAGAGAGGAAAAAAGCGAGAAAAGAAGCGGTATCCGTGTTTTGATGCTCATAGGCCAGCGAGACGTTGTGCCAGTCCTCATCGGCACTAGTGATCTTGAGAGATTGAATTGTTGCAGCACCCATGCGAACTCTGAAAAGACTATAAGGATCTGCACCGGTGCCGGCCTCGAAGCTCGAGACACGAAATTTGAAATCAACGCGGTAGGTTGCCCCCGGAGTTAGAGCGACTTTTTGAAAGAGCAGCGGCGCATCAGCGTAATAAGGACCTTGGGTAAAGTAGGTGATGCCATCATCGGTCTGCACCTGGCCACCAGAGATGGTCCAGGGCGTCTGGTCGACAAAGTCACCTCCTCGAATGATGTTGGTGTTGGGGGCCGCGCTACCAGTAGGGTCGCCTACTGTGGTAGGCCGGCTCACTAGTTGGACGTTGACATCGTCGAAAAGTACCACGGCTGAGCCGACCGAGCGACCGCACTCCAGCTCAATGCGAGTGACCTGAGGAGCACCCAAGTTGCCGAGCGTCACCGCTCCTCGCGGTCGTACGCCAGTTTCCCATCGGGAGTACCCGGCAAAAGTAAACTCGGATGCGAAGCTGTACGACACTTCGCGACTAGGGTCTGCGGTATCTGTCGTGTCGAGGTAGTGGGTGATGGTGCATACGCGATCCGAACTGTACTCGGTTTGAGGACGCTGAGCAGCAGGGAGCAGCTGATAAGATTGAATGTAGCTGGCAGGGAGGCGGAGAACCCCAGTCAGCATTCGATTTCACCCTATGATCTCACGGCCTCCATCGCTCACTAGTAGTGCCAAAATTGAAAAGCCTTCCCAAGGGGCACCTCATCGCTGCTGATGAAGCTGGAAATTTGCACACGAGTTGCGCCATTTCCCCACGACAATTTGGCCGCGTTGGAGCCAGAGTGAGCTGGAGTGGCACCACCAAAGTCGATAGCGCCACTGTTGCCAGAAAGCTGCTTGGACCATCCCGAACCCCCGCTTTCGAATGAAGGGTCTTGCACCAAATTTTGGCCGCTGACCGGCGCTGGAGGGCTAGCAACTGCTGGTGGTGTGGTCGGCGTTGGGTCAGATTCAGCGTAGCTGGAACCATCCACCAGATTGTCGTCTGCATCAATCCAGTGCGTACTGGGAGCGGAATCGTGAATGGTCGTGAGGAAAGAGCGTAGTGTCAGAACGGATCCGCTGCGCTGCGCTGCACTGCGCTGCTCCACGGCGCGCTCCACGGCATGCGCTACGCGCTGCGCTACTTTTGCTCACTCAATGTGCTTGACGTTGACTGTGCCAGTGACGCCAGCGTCGCACGTCAACGCGATGGAGACCGAAGTGGTGGTAGGGATCAGCATGCGGGTTGCAGGATTATTGATAAACTGTCAAGGTGCAATCGAGTCATTTAAAGTGCAATGGAAAAGATCAGCCTTGCTCAAACGTACGAGCGGGGAGAGATGTCACGCACGCTCATCGTGTAAGTAGTGTAGCCCTGGCCTAGCCTGTCTGGCAAGATGGGAGCAACGTCCCCAGAGATGTAGCCGTTCGCGTACCTGATGAAAGCGCAAGAGGCATCGCTGGCACCACCGCTGAGCGAGACAAGCTGGAACCTCCATGAAACGCTGGCTGAAGCAGCATTGGCGGGTTTTGTTCCTTGGTTGATGTTGATACGAGTGATGTTGTTGCCTCCCGTGAGACGGATAGCGCGTTCTCCAAATTGGTCAGTCACTGCTGTTGGAGTGCCGGCGCCCGTTGATCTCCATGCCCCCAAGCCTGTGGAAAAGTCATCTAGTCGCGCGCCGGTGGCTGGCGTGGTGGTGACTGCTACGCGACTGTAGATGTTGGTGATGCCAACAGTGGCACTTGCACTGCCTGTGCAGACAGTATCGATCTTGATGCTTGTGAGATCAGCATTGGGTGCAGTTGCGCCAGCAGCCCACGTGTAGCTGGCAGTAGCGCTGACAAACGGTGCGCCGGTACCGGCGTTGCTTGCGGTTCGACCGAGATCAATCGTCTGGCGTGCAACGCCGTTGAGCGAGGGAACGACCTTGCAAGTACCAGTCCCTGTGCCAGGGGCGTAGGTCTGCACCTGATAGGCATAGCCCACTGTGACGAGCTGAGACGAGGTTTGCCGTTTGTCCAAAGAAGAGGTGGAGCCGCGCTTGATCGGGACAGTTCGAGTGATGCCGGCCGCGGCAGCAACGGTGGCCATCAGTCTGGCGTAAATGATGCTCCCGACTTGTTGTGGCGTCGCATTGCCATTGGCAGTCCAACTTCCGAGCGAAGTGGCCGTAAATCCGGTCAAGTCGGTCGAGCCAGATGGAACTGCTGCTGGCGGAGTGCTGGGCGGAGTGGTCGAAGGCGGTGTGGTGCCAGCAGCAGCAGCACACTTGCCCTTTGCACATTTTCCCGACTTGCAACCGACCTTGAAAGTGGGGGGAGACGCGCGAGTGGGGAGACGCGCGCGCAATCATTGTCAGTTTTGATGACATTGTAAGCTCCCTTGGCCTTCAATTCTCACATCTTTGTAGCAAGAAGCACCACTCGCAGCCTTGCTTCGGCAGGTAGAGTAGCCGCAATACGCGCTGGTGCACTCAGTACTGGCACGGCAAGGTGCGCCCGAGGGTCTTTGTGTTGGGTAACGTCAGCCCGCGCCCAGCATCGACACGCAAGACGAAAAGAAGCTCACTTGGCGCTGTTACCGAGGCATTTGCTGTTGAAACATACACCGGGCGCAGAGCAACCCGAATTTTTGTAGCAGCCTCCTCCAACAGGAGCCAGAGGGGCACACTTGTTGCGATTGCAAAAGTTTCCCGAGCTGCACTGAGTGCTTTTTGTGCAGCTTTTGGTGCTACCCGCGCGAGCGTAGAGATCGCCTACGGCGCCTCCTCCCTCGAGCGGTGCAGCGCTACCGAGCGCAAGCCAAGTCGAGAGCGTGATCAGGGTTGCCAGCGAAATGAACCTCATGGCGGTTGGGTCAGAGGCGAGACGTGGTGCAAAGAATCGTGAGTAGGAGAAGAGTCGATGTGTGGGTCATTCAATAATCGCCCCCGGCAGTGGTCTTCTTATACCAGTCAGGCTCGTCGTCGATCAGACACAGAGAGGCGCCGCATCCCGAAGCTGGGCTGAGTCAAGAGTCTAGAGCGGAGACGTCGGACTTTTTCATCGGGCCGACTACAGGCAGGCATGCCGGCAGCTGCTCAATCCGCTTTGATCGGTCGGATCTGAGCGAGAGCCGCAGACCAGGTCGTACCACCGAGTGCGTGATGGATGGGATCCATGGCTATTTTACCGGTCGCGCAGCATGCCACAATTCACGATTTAGCTTTATATAAACAGCTAGGGTACACAACAAATACAAAAATCCATGCATGGCATGCATGTGTGGCGCCAGCAGTCCCCTCCCCGCGCTTGCAGTGCATGCATGCATGCATGCATGCATACGCCACCAACGATCTGCACTCTGTTCCCGCGCGCGCGCGCCACCAACGATCTGCTGGGTCCCTCATCACCATACCGTATCCATCACGAGCGGCCCCTCACATGCCGCATGCGCGCGCAGCGGAAGAATTGCAGCCACTACAAGCCACACTCACGACTGTTCGAAGTGAGAGCGGACAATGTGTGCCGCGACTGCTGTGGTCAATGTTGAGGCTTCGGACAGGACTCCGAGCGCGAGGGGCGCTTGCTTGGGTTCCATGGCGTGGGCTGTCCTGATCAGCCCACACGGAATCGGCCGGTTCTAGATCTCCACCCCCCC